TGTTCCAACATGTCGGTTAAAGTACCAATTACACACAAACAGTTGCATTTACCTTTAGAGTATAAAATGACCTAACGACGTTTCTCAATTCATATATGACTATCACATTTGAGGGTGTTCCCATATTTTTGTTTGTAGTATATTTGTTGTAAGGCGTACTGTATATGTAAATGCGTAAGATATTATGTCCGAGAGGAGGTTTACACTTGTATAGACGAGTGTATATATTTTATATGATTTAATATCCAAATTCGTTCTTCTGACTCTCAGTTCGTAAGTTGAGATTATTACGGAGTGTGTTTTCGTATCATGTATTAGGAATAAAAATTGTATTATGCGAGCCTTTTATTCCTAATATGTGATATTTATGATACGGAAACACACGAGGTTAATAATCTCTTTATCATATAATGTCATTCTTTAAATAACTCGTAAGCAAATCGTACGTGAATTTATATGAAGAGAATCGAGCATTCGCGTAAGAATACTTAGCGGTACACCAGAGTGAAGGTGGAGGTTGTGACTAGTCGCTAATACAGTGCAAACATAACTCATGCTTAAAATAATACCTTTCTATTAGGAAAGAACAACAAAATCGGGCAGGGTTTTCTTGGGAGTGTTTCTATTTCATTGCTGGTAATCATCTCATCAATATCAGTTTCTGATACCTGACGGAATCGATTCGTCGTCTGTATTGTGATCGATAGATCGAAATGCTTGGTTGGTACCATTCTTAGATCACTGCCTTTCAGGCGTGCCTTATAATCCGTGCCTTCAATTTGAACGACGTACTCAGTTTCATGTTTTCCAAAGTCAATTGCTGCAGTAACGACTCCAGAACCTCTGTCATCAATTCTTACAGAATCACCAATTTTAAGAATGGGGGCAGCCATGGTTGTTTACAAACAATGTAAACTCGTGACGACGTCATCAATGAAATGTTAACGTTTTAGGATTCGCATGTCGTCTATGCAGTTTTGTGAAAGTAGTTCGTGGATTGACGTAATTTGCAGATTTGGATACCAAGTTTATCAGATAGCTTTATTGAACCGATAACACCCTCTATTAGATGATAAACAGTAATAACAGAGCAAAGAGTGTATAAACTACAGCTTCTGCGATTGCTGGATTAGTGATGTTAATTATGACGTCATGATAACCGATGATGTCACAATGGTCTGCAAAGCATTGTGATGCAACTTAATTGAAGCGATATCTCACAGGAGATAAATAGAGATTATTACACGAGCAAGTGTGTCGTCGACTTTCGAATATGTCATGACACACTTGCTCGAATGTATTTATTTCTTTATTATCCACTTTATTCATGTATATTTGTGCAGTAAAACACGGTAAGCAAGTGTGACGGCCCTGTTAAGCAAAAGTGAGTGAGTGAGTGAATATAGGTTTACGCCGCTTTTAGCAATATTCCATTCCAGCAACATCACGGCGGGGGATACCAAAATTGGCTTCACACATTGTACCCATCTGGGGAATCGAACACGGGCCTTCGGCGTGACGAGCAAACGCTTTAACCACTAGGCTACCCCACCGCCCCTCTAAGCAAAAGTGATATGTGCACATGTGCACATATGATATATATGACACAGGTTATATATATAACACCTGCCTATTATATATGGATAATAACGTCTTATCTCACCCAGGCGATATCTCCGGAGAAGGCAAGGTTGGAAAGATATTATTCTGCAGAACAAAGAAGCACCCTGTAATTCTGGTAACAGTATTTTGATTCCTGAAAAAGGCGACGGCTGACTCCTTTAGATGTGTATTAGCATACGTGTACATTAATACGAAGAGTTTCAAAACGGGCATCTTACGTTTTGCTCGTGAAAATCATCACTACCACGGTTCATTTAATATGTATATCCTTGCATTCTCTCCAATGAGACGTCCTTCTCTTCCTTGTATCACTTTCCCCGTGACAATCCGGGTTAGAATTGGTTTTCAGTAACCATGCTTGTCGTAAGAGGCGACTAACGGGATCGGGTGGTCAGGCTCGCTGACTTGGTTGACACAAATAATCGTATCCCAGTTGCGAAGATAGATGCTCATACTGTTGATCACTGGATTGTCCGGTCCAGGTCTATTTGCAGACCTGCATATAGCTCAAATATTGCTGAGTGCGGCGTAAAACTAAACTCACTCACATTTGTATCACCTGCAAAATACGAACTGGTATTGCAGGTGCATGATAGTCAGCTGGGGAATCAATAAAATATAATAATTAGAGCAAATATTTCTGTTTAAGTGATGGTTTCCATACTTATCGTAGTCTACGGTCCCGTGATCCTTTTCTCGGCGGGCTGGCCCCACTCTTCTGACCTCGCGGATAACAGTATCAGCGCGAGGGAGGCATGAAAAACATGCAAGTAGAACGTATAGATGCGACATATCTCAGTCTGGGACAGACAATCCAGTGGTCAACAGCAAGAGCATCGATCTACGCGATTGAGATATGACATGTGTCAACCTAGTCAGCGAGCCTGACCACCCGATCCCGTTAGTCGACTCTTACGAGACGCATGGTTTACTGAAGATCAATTCTAACCCGGATCTCCAAGAATATATCGTACCTCGAGGGTGTGGAGTGCAAGCCGTGAGATTATGCCCGGATCGGTTGGCGGGGTTGGGTGATATTATAAGTTGTTCACTGGTCACGAGGGGGGCATGGGTTGATATACCCTCTTTGTTTGTTTATGTTCTCTGAGCCCGAAGGGTCCCCGAGGGACGAGTGAACAACGTCTGTATCTTACCCAACACCTCATTGTTCATTTTGAACTATTTATAGCAAGGGTATCAGAGTTAGGCAATTAGCCAATACTGGCAACGGGGGACAAGAAAAACAAATTTAGAGTTATCTCCCTTCCATCGATTTGCATTCGAATTACTAACACGAAGTACCAAAATGAACTTAACCCATGCTTGTCGTAAGAGGCGACTAACGGGATCGGGTGGTCAGGCTCGCTGACTTCGTTGACACATGTCATCGTATCCCAATGGATATCCCATCGTATCCCAATGGTTGCTGTGCCACCACCAGTTATTCAAGGGACATTTCTGCATTATCGGTTTCTTATACACTCAAGGCCAAAAGAAAGTGGCCCATTTTATTTTTGATATATGAAATTTATTCAAAATTGGTGAAATATATCTTCTTTTGTTTCACAATCGCCAAAACACACCAATAATGTTGTCATTAGGAAAAATTGATTTCGAGCTAAAAATCATGAAATTTGTACAAATGGTGAAATACACGTTTTTGAAGGATAAAAGCGACACTACGTCAGCCAAACGAGGCATTTAACGACCGTTGGTATAACACAGACGTTATGAAACAGGAAAACACTTTAGATATGCCTAGACTTACTTCAGAACAGCGTGAAAGAGTTATAGGAATGATAAACATGGGAGCTTCTCATGCCCATGTCGCAAGAACGTTTGGTTTTCACAGATATTCTATCAATAGACTTATAAAACGTTTCCATGAGACTGGCAGGGCTGTTGACCGACCAAGGTCAGGTAGACCAAAGGTCACTACCCCCCAGGAAGATCGATATCTACGAATTCTACATCTGAGGAATCGGTTCCTGACAGTTTCGGAATCGGCATCAACGGCACTCGGTCGAGTTGTCAGCAGACACACAGTTAGACGACGACTACAGCACGCCGGAATTCGAGCCCACAGACCATTCCGTGGAACAATGCTGACACGTCAACATCGCCTGAATAGGCTGATCTGGGCACGTCGTGTTCGACGATTGCAGCTTCGTGATTGGCGTAGGGTTCAATTCAGCGATGAGAGTAGGTCTTGTTTATACCATAACGACGGTAGAGCACGTGTCTATCGCCGTCGTGGTAAACGTCATGCCCCGTCATGCGTTATGGAGGTTCAGGCTCATGGTGGTGGGAGTGTTATGGTTTGGGGAGGTATCTGTGGCGAAATGAAGACACAGTTGGTCACAGTTCAAGGCAACCTGACAGCACAACAATACACTGACCAGGTTATTCGTCCAGTTGTGTTTCCGTTCGTTAATCAACACCAAGGGACATTATTTCAACAAGACAATGCTCCTGCACACACAGCTGGGATTGTGACAGACTTCATGGGAACCAATAACATCAACGTCTTGCCTAGGCCGTGTCGTTCCCCTGACCTCTCACCAATAGAGCATCTCTGGGACTTTCTGGGCAGGAAAATCAGAATGAGACTACACTCTCCAGCAAACCTGAGACAACTGGAACAGGCCATTCATGAGGAATGGAGGAATATCCCAAATGCCTTCATCAGACGTCTCACAACGTCAATGAGACGTCGAGTACTTGCATGTATCAATGCAGAAGGAGGACTAACCTAAAGTAATGCACAACTAAACGTGGACAAATGTGTTTTAATCTAGAGTTCACAGATATTCTTCAAGACAACTGAAAACATGTAACTTTGCCTTTTGATACCAGTGTCATTTAATTAAATGTTGCTTAAACATTACTTCATGTTTGATGTTGTAATAACCTCCGTATGTTTAGCAAGTGGCCTTACTATCAACATAAATAGATATGAAATCAATTTTTTTACTGTGTTGATTTTTATTACGATTTTAGCACAGGACACTTTCTTTTGGCCTTGAGTGTATACTCATGCCAATAATGGTTGTCACCCCCTTCAATTTTTTATTGGAGAGGGGAGGGGAGGGGGAGGGAGGAGGGTAACCATTATTGGCATGAGTTTAGATAGTATTATCACATTCTCCTCGATATACATGCCTTTAGGAAACGTCGAGTTACCTCCCTTAGGTTACCCAGAAGCCTATGATCGTGGGTTCGACCCGATTATGTTTCTGTTTGTCAGCCTCAGCCCCAAGTGGTAGACGTCTGCGGCCTGCAGCGCTCCAGGCTGTCCTCCCACGTCAAGCTGATATGACGTCATACAGCTCACCTTCTCACTCCACAACAACAAATGATGGATAGACACGTTCAAGTAAAAAAAAATCAACAACTTTTATTCCTACAGAAAAAGAGAACTTATAGAATCTACAATTGACAAAATACAGAATATAAAGTGAGGCACTTGTCCTAGGGTAACTTATCAACATCCACTGAGACAGTACACGTGACTGTTGTCAAATAAATGTTCAGAACACATGGAAATCAAAGACTGAACTGTATCAGCTATTTATTCATCAATTATTTCTGCAACAACGTCGATAGCAGTCTAGTAAATGCACAACTTGTTTCAAAAGCAATGGGGTTTTTTAAATGATAGTTAATTTACCCATGTAAGGAAGATTGCTGAATGCATGTGTACTGGTTTGTACAAGTTATACATCGTTGTTTCTACTGTTGATGAGCCCAACTTAAAATGGCAAACATTGAAATTTATTGCATGTGAACACAGACTGATAAAACAGTGTGCGAAATAGCCACTGGACCGCTAGCCCATGGCTAGTAAAAATCCAGTCGGGCCAGTAAATCTTCAGAGTCACTGGCCCGACTGGCTGGTGAATTTTCATGGGGTCATTTTGTAAACATATTACTCTCTCCGACTTGTTAAGTCAGAAAGCACTTTAAAATCATGCACGATTTTTTGCCTGATAAAAATGTTCATCATATTAGCAGCTTAATGACGAAACCCATGTCTACATTCAAATTTCGGGCTAGTGAAGTATTGTGTAACTTTCTGGCATAGTTAGCCCGACTGGCTAGAAAAATATGAAAACTATTTTGCACACTGGTTGAAAATCATGTGGAAGTAATACGTGAGTCTTTATTCATGTTTCTTGGGCTTGTGTTTCATAGCCAGTGTAACTTGGCACATTTAATCACTCCGTGTCTAGCATGCGTCACCTGCAGTAACTACATCAAATCAGCTACACAAAAGATCGTCGTGCTCAAAGTCGCTGTATTTACAAACTGTACACAAATATGACAAAACCATTTCAACAAATTCTTTTCTACATACTTAATGCCGCATTTTGCAAAGTAATCTCAAACGTTTAATAATACAAAAAATATAAAATATTAATGTTCATTATGTATGGATCAAGGTTTCATGTTCATTCTAAAGTTTTGAGCGCAAAGAACATCTACGCTTCCGTTACTTGCTCTTTGGATTTGTTCAAAAAATGAAATTAATCATGTCAGCCTAAATAGAACATGTAGCACTATTGTCTCCTTCGGGCAGGGCGTGCTGTGCAAGACGACACAATCACAAACAATATCTATCATTGAGACATAAGGATAATACTGAGAAAACATCTTATGTACAAGAAATAACTGCATCTTTCCTCGTTCACGGTCGGATCTGTCTCTGGGTCACAAGCTGTCTGTATTAGACAGACATCCTCTCCTCTGATTGTCTCTGCACACGGACTTCCGGTAATGCCGCTTATTGAAGTCGGTGAATCTTTTGAACTTGAACACATTGCATGTCCGGTTCCACAATGTCTATGAACTGAACGTAGTATTTTGAAAAAAAGGCACTGCATAATTGCATGCAAAGTTGAAAATATGAACAGAATACACGTACTCGATACAACAGCTGTTGTATATGATTACACCTTAGCAACTCTATGCAGAAGGAATCCACAACTCCTGTCATCGTCTAAGGTGCATCCTGTTTCCACACTTGGTTAAACTCACGATCAAAAATCATATTTGACCTTCTCCATTTAGGACATTTCAGACACCACTTCACATCGAGATGAGAAAAATCCACTGTAAAATCCATCAAAATTGACTTGAAAAGTCTTTGTGCTAGTCTTCAGAACAACATACACGAAGCGGAAATTGCGCAAAAATGTGCGTATTTGGATGTCCGACAACACTGAAGATATCAAAATGGCGACGTGGTTATTATTGCATCCGGGTACCTCTGTCCCCTAACGTCTCAAGTGGCAGTTAAGTAGCATATGCCTACAGTGGACAACAAGCTAGTCACCACCATGTCTTACTAACACGATCCAAATGTAATATTCCGTCATCTTGCGTCACATATTTTCGTGATTTCTTTTGATAGAAGAGCCCGTCTGGTGGTGGGTGGTGTTGCTGGGCGTCTCATACGTCGTTGCTGATCTTGGCGGTGGGCTTTGGTTGTTCTGCTGGCTTCAGCATCATCTCAACCTGCTTCAGTGACGAATACTGATGGATGCTGTTCCACTGAATCCCATCACGCTGGAAGTAGTTTCTATGGAAACCCTTGGTGTAGTATTTGCCGTTGAGGTGGGAGTCGAAGCAGTTGTTGAACCACCATGCGCCATGGTAGTGGTGGTGCACAGCTGTCGTAGTAGCGGCCGTCGTTGTCTTTGTCCTTGGTGCTGAACGCCATGCCGTCATGGTTTTCCCAATGCGACGTCAAGGAGTCGCCAGCGTTTCCATGGTAACCACTGACGTGAAGACGATACAACTTGGTCTCATTGTCGACACGGAAATGGTCATAGTTGGCGACATATTTCTTGCCATCCCAGTCCTGCATCTCGATCAGCAGCATTGTGTCACCTGTAACAATAATACAAATAAACATATAAAACAGTACTAGGAGAGAATGTTACTTGTAATATGTAGCGAAAATAATATAGCTATTGAATAAGACCACACATTCAATGGTATTTTGTTGGCATAATTTAATGACGTCAATGCCCATCGGGAGTAATCTCCCCTAATGGTAGCCATCTTGTTTCGGGGCCAACATATTTGTATTTATCATGCATCCTGTTATCATACATGCATTCTGTTGCCTGAATGTGATATCATAAGTGTAAATATTTGTCTACTTATAAATGTCATACTGGCAGTTAACTGTGTATGCCCTCGTTCAAACAAAGCGTACATTGTCAGTAAATTCTGTATGTGTACCCGTGAAGATCCGGGTTAGAATTGGTCTTCAGTACCCCATGCTTGTAAAAGGCGACTAACGGGATCGGGTGGTCAGGCTCGTCACACTTGGTTGACAAATGTAATCGTATCCCAATAGCGTAGATCGATGCTGTTGATCACTAGATTGTCTGGTCCAGGCTCGATTATTCACAGCCCACCGCCACATAGCTGGAATATTCCTGAGTGCGGCATAAAAGTAAACTCACTCATTCAATGTTTGGGGCATTCCATGCTGGAGTCCACTAACGAAACACTAGCAACATACATCTGAGGCAGCGTGTTGGGCAAGTGGCGTTCACCTTCTCTGTTGGGCATTTCATGGTATCTGGTCGACATTAACCCGTTATAAATAGTTTGCGAGGATAAAGAGAAATTATGTCCCCTCCAACAAAGAACCTGCCCCGAAAACTGACATTGATGTGAACCCTGTTCATAGCAGGTAATTGATTGCCCGTATTGAAATAGACAACACAAAGCCTGCTTTAGACAAGCTCTATAAACACACCGTTTTCTATGATTAAACGTGCAGCAAGTAAAGCCTTTTGTTGTTTACACTACACCCATGAACGAACACGTCACGACTCATGCAAATAACACGCTCTGATATTTGTTGTCCATTCAATGGTCGGTGTTAACAAAGAGTTACTATGGACAACTTGCGCTGTATAGTAAAGGCACTGTTAGTCGACAATGTTTGTCTGTTTTTCTAAACACGTCTCAACGCTACTACTATATATCACTGCCCCGAATATATCGTAACGGCGCATGCGCAGGATAATCGGTATTGGAATGTGAATATTTGGAGGCTTCTGGATACGTTGGTAGGAGTTCAAAGATGTCCTTATTACAGTAACGCTGGGACAAGGACTACCAACATTCCACTGGAGGAATGTAAACCAGGCTAAATATCTCAGAGACGTATATAAGATCCCCGTGTGTATGTGTGTACTCAAAGAGAATGTGCAGATGTACCAGGATCGACGCATGGAAACTTCTGGAAAGAAACATTACAGTCTCGTGATACAGATGTCACAAAGGACTAATATTTCATCCTAATTTCGAGAAGAGAACATTTCCCTGTGGACAAACTGCTGTTTGAAGGTAGTGTGTGTTATTCGTTCTTCAAGTGTAACGTACTCCCAATCGTCTCCCAATCATGTATAGAAGGAACGGCTTCGAGAGCCGGCGGCTGCAGCGGACCCCGCGTCTGGAGATGGCGGTCTGGCAGGATCTGATGAGTGACACGGGGCACATGCACATGCCCGGGTATGACCCCAGTGACCCTTACAGCTGCACGTGCTACCCCAAGCCGTCCAGCATCCAGATACCGTCCATGGTGTACGACGAGATCCGCTGCCCCCACCCCGAGAAGCACCACCTCCAGCCGGCCCAGGACGACGTGTTCGCGTATCCATGGACGGTGCAGACATATGAGCCTCCGTTTGCCAAAAACTCCTTCAGACCAATGAGCCTTCCACCAAGGCCGCCGATGTCGGCTAAAACCGCCCCGCCGTACGTTGGCATGGATGTCAAGAAACCGCAGAGAGTCACCCCTCCTCCTAACTCAGCGCCTGAAAAGGTCAAGGTTCCGAAGCTGAACCTAAATCTCCTTGACCAGCCCGATAGAGCAAAGGTGGTGACAACGCCGACGTTAACGACTATCGGTGAAGGTCCTGATGACTTCGCGGAGACGAAGGGGAACTACCCTACGATCACCCAGTACGACAGCGTCAGCCAGGTCCTCCAGAGACGTTACTCCTCCTATTACCGGAACCCGGGGCCCACTCCGCTCAAGTACAAAGACCCTGACCGCAACATGATGAGGAGGACCCCGGTGCGAGAGCCCCCTTACAAGGGCATGCCGCCCAGGACAAGGGAGGTAATCACACGGGACCTCCCCACCAGGAACAGTGCCTACTACAGCAGGTTCGAGTACAGCCCCCCACCCCAGGTACAGGGCAGCCCCGGGAGGAGATCCTACACGGCCACTATGGATCCAGTCCCCACCAGGCAGTTCGAGGGACATTACGTGGACCCGAGTAAGTGACGTCACGCTGTATTGTGTCCAATATTTTCTGTCTCATGTGAGTGTAGTGGTTGGAGGGTATGTATTTTATAATAGTGTCATTCGAATGGACCTGTCCTACTATAAATCAAGAGAATGAAAAAACATAACATATTGGGTAATCCCACGAAACTATCAAAAAGGTAAAGTTACACATGCAAGGAATCGTCAGATAACGTACATAGACGCTATACATTATTAGTAACTTCCAGTGAACCATTCAGCGCCAGGGTCAACAAAGCCACGCATAAATGCATATATTACCAATAGTATACTTCATGTTTATGTGGAAATGTAGGTTTGACAACCAACTGTATTCGGCAATGTATGGATCGACATATTCCGTGTTAATTAAACCGACTGTTGTAGATAGAGAGGAGGTGTATTGTGGTGTGGCACACACAGAGTCTGTACTGTGTATCACCGTGTGTGACCTGGTGTGCCGTCAAGTAGTAATGAGGTCGGTCACACCAACCACCCGTTACTTGTATGTCAAGTATTCGTCATACAGCAAGAATATTGTTGTATTCAGAGGACCAACTTGATAAGGTCGTGGACCATGGTCGTGGACCATGTGGTGTAGCATATTTGAATATGCTATGAGTAAACGTAGATCGGATCTCACCAGTAGAACAAAGATCTGACCTCACCAGTAAACGTAGATCTGACTTCACCAGTACACGTAGATCTAACCCCACCAGTAAATGTAGATCTGACCCCCGCCAGTTAACGTAGATCTGACTTCGCCAGTAAACGTAGATCTGACTTCACCAGACATATGGCTGACTACTCGTGTCCCTTGGCGATCGAACGTTTTGCATCTATCGCTGTTTCAGGCACCAAACAGTGCATCTGAAATGTAGATGTGGTCTAAACCAGTAAACATAGATCTGAGTAAACTTTTATTACAACACTAACGATTTTGTATTTGTCTATATCCGTGGTGTAATTTCACAATGTTGGTCATTTGAACAAAACCGCGTCCCCAGGGGCGGGGGTGTCAGAATGGAACATATTGGTCGTTTTCAGTCAAACTCAGCTCGGACAGCTGACAGGAACAGTTATCTGATCAGTACACGTACATCTGACTTCACCAGTAAACGTAGATCTGACTTCGAGAGTAAACGTAGATCGGATCTCACCAGTAAACAAAGATCTGACCTCACCAGTAAACGTAGATCTGACTTCACCAGTACACGTAGATCTAACCCCACCAGTAAATGTAGATCTGACCCCGCCAGTAAACGTAGATCTGACTTCGCCAGTAAACGTAGATCTGACTTCACCAGACATATGGCTGACTTCCAGCTGGGACATTACTGTGTTCAATGCTACGGGTAGAATGGCTTCCTATCGTTATGGATATACATTTGTGCCAATCAGGATTCACGTTACAATAATAATGTACAGACAGGATTTCGTCAAACCATACCCGTGAAGGTCCGGGTTAGAATGAGCCTTCAGTAATCCATGCTTGTAAGAGGCGACTAATATATCGGGATCGGGTGGTGAGGCTCGCTGGCTTGGTTGACACATGTCACTGGTTCCCAATTGAATATTGCTGACTGCGGTGTAAAACTAAACTCACTCACTCACTCACTCGTCAAACCAGTTATATTATCTGTATGTTGTCATTCAGGCCTTTGGACGAGGTGTGTACGTGCAGGATGTTAGTCATGTTAGGCTTTATGTGCAGTCAGCTTCAAGTTCTATACCGTCAATCTGTAACCACCCGGTAAACCGGTAACACGATATCACTCACGGTTTATCTACCACACCGCTGAAACAGCATCAACGACATTTAAGGAATCAACGTTGCTCCATTGTTTTGTATAAGCAGGTTCACGTGTAACAGTGAAAAATTGCCACTTCCGGTCATATACTGGGTAAATGCTTGTTCATGTCATAGGCTTAGGTCATGGGTAAATGTTTGTTGGTATATACGTCTTAGGTCATGGATAAATGCTTGTTCATGTCATAGGCTTAGGTCATGGGTAAATGCTTGTTGGTATCAACGTCTTAGGTCATGGATAAATGCTTGTTCATGTCATAGGCTTAGGTCATGGATAAATGCTTGTTGGTATCAACGTCTTAGGTCATGGGTAAGTGCTTATTGATGTCAAAGTCATTGATCATGGGTAAAAGCTTGTTGATGTCAAAATCTTAGGTCATGGGTAACTGCTTGTTGATGTCAATGTCTTAGGTCATGGGTAAATGCTTGTTGGTATCAACGTCTTAGGTCATGGGTAAGTTCTTGTTTATGTTATAGGCTCAGGTCATTGGTAAATGCTTGTTGGTGTCAAAGTCTTAGGTCATGGGTAAATGCTTGTTGATGTCAAAGTCTTAGGTCATGGGTAAATGCTTGTTGGTGTCAAAGTCTTAGGTCATGGGTAAATGCTTGTTGATGTCAAAGTCATAGATCATGGGTAAATGCTTGTTGATGTCAATGCCTTAGGTCATGGGTAACTGCTTGTTGATGTCAATGCCTTAGGTCATGTGTAAATGCGTGTTGATGTCAAAGTCTTCGGTCATGGGTAACTGCTTGTTGATGTCAAAGTCTTCGGTCATGGGTAACTGCTTGTTGATGTCAAAGTCTTCGGTCATGGGTAACTGCTTGTTGATGTCAAAGTCTTCGGTCATGGGTAACTGCTTGTTGATGTCAAAGTCTTCGGTCATGGGTAACTGCTTGTTGATGTCAAAGTCTTAGGTCATGTGTAAATGCTTGTTGGTGTCAACACATGCTATTACCACATATACATAACGGAAAATATCTGCTTGCAGAGACGGGGAAGGAATTCAAGTATGACGTCAGATATGGAAAACGGGACCTTGAGGGCAACAGAAGTCTGATCACAGCCTGACCAACTGACCACTGACGATGACAGGTCAACAGCCTGGCATCATCACTTTTCGGAGAGCTACACGGTTGGGATGGGCAGTGTAATAGGATGAAGATGGCACATGGCATACCAGCAGGTGGTACCTCCTGTAACACTACAACAGCGTATGGACCTTCCCGACGGTCCCTGGTGTATGTGACGCTCCCTGGTGTATGTGATGCTCCCTGGTGTATGTGACGCTCCCTGGTGTATGTGACGCTCCCTGGTGTATGTGACACTCCCTGGTGTATGTGACGCTCCCTGGTGTATGTGACGCTCCCTGGTGTATGTGACACTCCCTGGTGTATGTGACACCCCTGGTGTATGTGATGCTCCTTGGTGTATGTGACACTCCCAGACACTCCCTGGTGTATGTGACACTCCCTGGTGTATGTGACGCTCCCTGGTGTATGTGACTCTCCCTGGTGTATGTGACGCTCCCTGGCGTATGTGACGCTCCCTGGTGTATGTGACGCTCCCTGGTGTATGTGATGCTCCCTGGTGTATGTGATGCTCCCTGGTGTATGTGACCCTCCCAGACGCTCCCTGGTGTATGTGATGCTCCCTGGTGTATGTGACGCTCCCTGGTGTATGTGACACTCCCAGACACTCCCTGGTGTATGTGACGCTCCCAGACGCTCCCTGGTGTATGTGACGCTCCCTGGTGTATGTGACGCTCCCTGGTGTATGTGACACTCCCAGACGCTCCCTGGTGTATGTGATGCTCCCTGGTGTATGTGATGCTCCCTGGTGTATGTGACACTCCCAGACACTCCCTGGTGTATGTGACGCTCCCTGGTGTATGTGACGCTCCCTGGTGTATGTGACACTCCCAGACACTCCCTGGTGTATGTGACGCTCCCAGACACTCCCTGGTGTATGTGACGCTCCCTGGTGTATGTGACGCTCCCTGGTGTATGTGACTCTCCCTGGTGTATGTGACACTCCCTGGTGTATGTGACGCTCCCTGGTGTATGTGACCCTCCCTGGTGTATGTGACACTCCCAGACGCTCCCTGGTGTATGTGACTCTCCCTGGTGTATGTGACGCTCCCTGGTGTATGTGACGCTCCCTGGTGTATGTGACGCTCCCTGGTGTATGTGACACTCCCTGGTGTATGTGACACTCCCTGGTGTATGTGACGCTCCCTGGTGTATGTGACGCTCCTGGTGTATGTGACCTCCCTGGTGTATGTGACACTCCCTGGTGTATGTGACTCTCCCTGGTGTATGTGACGCTCCCTGGTGTATGTGACGCTCCCTGGTGTATGTGACGCTCCCTGGTGTATGTGATGCTCCCTGGTGTATGTGACGCTCCCTGGTGTATGTGACACTCCCTGGTGTATGTGACGCTCCCAGACGCTCCCTGGTGTATGTGACGCTCCCTGGTGTATGTGACACTCCCTGGTGTATGTGACACTCCCAGACGCTCCCTGGTGTATGTGACGCTCCCTGGTGTATGTGACGCTCCCTGGTGTATGTGACGCTCCCTGGTGTATGTGACACTCCCTGGTGTATGTGATGCTCCCTGGTGTATGTGACGCTCCCTGGTGTATGTGACGCTCCCTGGTGTATGTGACACTCCCTGGTGTATGTGATGCTCCCTGGTGTATGTGACGCTCCCTGGTGTATGTGACGCTCCCTGGTGTATGTGATGCTCCCTGGTGTATGTGACGCTCCCTGGTGTATGTGATGCTCCCTGGTGTATGTGACGCTCCCTGGTGTATGTGATGCTCCCTGGTGTATGTGACGCTCCCTTGTGTATGTGACGCTCCCTGGTGTATGTGACACTCCCAGACGCTCCCTGGTGTATGTGACGCTCCCTGGTGTATGTGACGCTCCCTGGTGTATGTGACACTCCCTGGTGTATGTGATGCTCCCTGGTGTATGTGACGCTCCCTGGTGTATGTGACGCTCCCTGGTGTATGTGACACTCCCAGACGCTCCCTGGTGTATGTGACACTCCCTGGTGTATGTGATGCTCCCTGGTGTATGTGACGCTCCCTGGTGTATGTGACGCTCCCTGGTGTATGTGACACTCCCAGACGCTCCCTGGTGTATCTGACGCTCCCTGGTGTATGTGACGCTCCCTGGTGTATGTGACGCTCCCTGGTGTATGTGACACTCCCTGGTGTATGTGACGCTCCCTGGTGTATGTGACGCTCCCTGGTGTATGTGACACTCCCTGGTGTATGTGACGCTCCCTGGTGTATGTGACGCTCCCTGGTGTATGTGACACTCCCTGGTGTATGCGCTCCCTGTGACGCTCCCTGGTGTATGTGACGCTCCCTGGTGTATGTGACGCTCCCTGGTGTATGTGACGCTCCCTGGTGTATGTGACACTCCCTGGTGTATGTGACACTCCCTGGTGTATGTGACGCTCCCTGGTGTATGTGACGCTCCAGTCCAGTGCTAGGGGCATTCCCCGACTTTTGGCCTTGACCAACACATGACTGCACCAGTGTTCATCAACATCCCCACATGTGTTCACAGCGTGGTCGCTCAACAACTGCTGCTGAGACGGGGGGAATCAAGTTCAGCCTATTAGGTATGCCGCAAAGTATTTAGATAAACATCAAATATCAAAAGTACGCCACATGACGTATGTAACTGTGAGCTATAAAAACAGTCATGTAGCGGAGTGTTATCACCAAGACTACGAGGTCAGGAATCAGTACTTTTAAGTTTGTCAGACTGGGCCCGTCAAGGGTATAAACTCAAGGGAAAGTTGGTGCCACCTCTTTCTGAATGAGTACCGAATGAATGCCAAAAATACCCGTTCTACCGACGTAATGCGCCAGCTGTTGTGAATAACACGATTGGGTATGGTGTGATTTGGGCAATTACATTTCACGGAATCTCCTACATATCAGAATGTCAGCTTAGCTTGGTGTAGGTCGTGAACATCAACAGCAGCGGCTGTGTCATCTCTGCCTGGTTCAAGATCAGGTAATCAGCCAATGGACAAGTACAGTAACTCACATAACTACCAAGTTATATCGCCATCCGCGAGGACAAAGGATTACCAAACTACCCAGCGTTAAGAAAACATTTCTGCTGCAATAATATAGCAACATGAAATTGGCCGTCCTACACTAATCAGTTAGTCACTATATACAATGTGTTCACTTATACCGTATTTTGTTCATAATGCTGTACATCCATATGTGGCCAAGTGAGGCATAGTATCTTCTTAACCGTGTCATATCTTGTCAGGCATACACAAGTGTGTTATGTTCGCTATCTGTCAGTAATATCACACACACCGTGTATAATGCACTGTGTAAATGTACATATATATGGTAATGTATGTACCTTGTACGCTCGCAATGTCATAATAATTAAACTATATGACAAAGTGCGTGTTCATATTCAGTATAGCGTCAAGCACCAGCTCTTTATCGTTCACATCCATAACTTTCACATCCACTCCACGACAAAACCAGCAACTACGCTGATGAGAAACATTATTGCCGATTTACACCTTGCAGTCTCCAAATCATTCGGCATAGACAAGTAATTCTATTCAGAATGTTTTGTGTTTAATTCTATCTGAATCACTACACTCTATTGGTTGTTGCAATTGTGTTGTAGTTGTTGTGTGGTGTTGAAGCTGTTGTGTATTGTTGTCGCTGTTGTGTGGTGTTGTAGGTGTTGTATGGTGTTGTAGTTGTTGTGTGGTGTTGTAGCTGTTGTGTAGTGTTGTAGTTGTTGTAGCTGTTGTGTGGTGTTGTAGCTGTTGTGTGGTGTTGTAGCTGTTGTGTGGTGTTGTACTTGTTGTGTGGTGTTGTAGTTGTTGTGTGGTGTTGTAGCTGTTGTGTAGTGTTGTAGTTGTTGTGTGGTGTTGTAGCTGTTCTGTGGTGTTGTAGCTGTTGTGTGGTGTTGTGCTGTTGTGTGTTGTAGCTGTTGTGTGGTGTTGTAGCTGTTGTGTGGTGTTGTAGCTGTTGTGTGGTGTTGTAGCTGTTGTGTGGTGTTGTAGTTGTTGTGTGTTGTAGTTGTTGTTGTGTTGTTGTAGCTGTTGTGTAGTGTTGTAGCTGTTGTTTGCTGTTGTAGCTGTTGTGTGGTGTTGTAGCTGTTGTGTGGTGTTGTAGCTGTTGTGTGGTGTTGTAGCTGTTGTGTAGTGTTGTAGTTGTTGTAGCTGTTGTGTGGTGTTGTAGCTGTTGTGTGATGTTGTAGCTGTTGTGTGGTGTTGTAGCTGTTGTGTGGTGTTGTAGCTGTTGTGTGGTGTTGTAGCTGTTGTGTGGTGTTGTAGCTGTTGTGTGGTGTTGTACCTGTTGTGTGGTGTTGTAGGTGTTGTGTGGTGTTGTAGTTGTTGTGTGGTGTTGTAGCTGTTGTGTGGTGTTGTAGCTGTTGTGTGGTGTTGTAGCTGTTGTGTGGTGTTGTAGTTGTTGTGTAGTGTTGTAGCTGTTGTGTGTGTTGTAGCTGTTGTATGGTGTTGTAGTGTGGTGTTGTAGCTGTTGTGTGGTGTTGTAGCTGTTGTGTGGTGTTGTAGCTGTTGTGTGGTGTTGTAGCTGTTGTGTGGTGTTGTAGCTGTTGTGTGGTGTTGTAGCTGTTGTGTGGTGTTGTAGTTGTTGTGTGGTGTTGTAGTTGTTGTGTGGTGTTCTAGCTGTTGTGTGTGTGTTGTAGCTGTTGTATGGTGTTGTAGTTGTGTGGTGTTGTAGCTGTTTGTGGTGTTGTAGCTGTTGTGTAGTGCAGTCCATACACACCTTGTGTTGTGAGATAATGCAGGTTGTCGTTTCCGAGCCAAAACTCCTTGTGTTTGTCTCCAAACCCGACCTTGTAGTCCGCCCACGACCGGTAGAAGTCCACTGACCCATCCTGTCGCCGCTGGATCACTGTCCACCCTGGAACACACACGTCACCATGACCAACCACATCGATAAGAATGAAGAGAGCACACGTGTGCTTAACACCAGACTGACACAGGTCAAATAACTCAGCAGGGTGGTTACCTGGCAACCAGGCTACTGCAGCAGGTAGTTACCCGGAAATCAGGCTACTGCAGCAGGGTAGTTACCCGGAAATCAGGCTACTGCAGCAGGGTGATTGCCCGGAAATCGGGCTACTGCAGCAGGGTTGATTGCCTGGCAACCAGGCTACTTCAGCAGGGTGATTACCTGGCAACCAGGCTACTTCAGCAGGGTGATTACCTGGCAACCAAGCTACTTCAGCAGGGTGATTACCTGGCAACCAAGCTACTTCAGCAGGGTGATTACCTGGCAACCAAGCTACTTCAGCAGGGTGATTACCTGGCAACCAAGCTACTTCAGCAGGGTGATTACCTGGCAACCAAGCTACTTCAGCAGGGTGATGACCTGGCAACCAAGCTACTTCAGCAGGGTGATTACCTGGCAACCAAGCCACTTCAGCAGGGTGATTACCTGGCAACCAGGCTACTTCAGCAGGGTGATTACCTGGCAACCAGGCTACTTCAGCAGGGTGATTACCTGGCAACCAAGCTACTTCAGCAGGGTGATTACCTGGCAACCAAGTTCCTTAGTAGGGTGATTACCCGGCAACCAAGCTACTTCAGCAGGGTGATTACCCAGCAACCAGGCTACTTCAGCAGGGTGATTACCCGGCAACCAGGCTACTTCAGCAGGGTGATTACCTGGCAACCAGGCTACTTCAGCAGGGTGATTACCTGGCAACCAAGCTACTTCAGCAGGGTGATTACCTGGCAACCAAGCTACTTCAGCAGGGTGATTACCTGGCAACCAAGCTACTTCAGCAGGGTGATTACCTGGCAAACAAGCTACTTCAGCAGGGTGATTACCTGGCAACCAAGCTACTTCAGCAGGGTGATAACCTGGCAACCAGGCTACTTCAGCAGGGTGATTACCTGGCAACCAGGCTGCTGCAGGACGACCTTTCTATGTTGACTGGTTAGAGAGGAACTATATATTCTGGGGCGGGTTAGGGTCGGGTTAGGGACGGGTTAGGGACGGGGAAGGATCTAATGAACTGAAAATAATGTTCCTGTCCTTATCCTTGTTTTATTTTGGATGAGCATCACCCAGGTATTTGTACATTTTAAATCATGACCCTCCCGAGCACTTTATGCTTCATTATAAACGACCTCTTTTAATTACCCTCCCTAAATAGGACCCTCCCCACCCGATGCCTTCTGACCCAACACCCTATAATAAACAACCAGTGTCTAACATTTTCACCCATCTCACCGCATACAAATTGTGATCCTCCGCTAGGCTAACCAGTGTAGGCTGCTACCGCAATATATTTTACGAGCGCTTACAGTGACAAAGGCGTTGTACTCACCCCAGTTGTTGAAGACCCTGCAGACGGCCTTGAAAGGGGCAGGGGCTCCATCCGGCTTGATGAGTATCTGGTAGTCCCCTTCAAACTTGAGCCCTCCTTGCAGGTATACCTCGTGACAGTCTGTAACCAACGTTATGAAGCCATGAGATTCAGCTACACTCCCACCATACACGTTAAAAACACGGCAAGTCCACATGTTCGCTACCAACACAACAACATCTACAACTCGACGTTTTCCCTAGCAACACCAACATTTACTATGACAAGTCGACCTGTTCCTTACCAACACACCAACATCTACTCCGACAAGTCGACGTGTTCCCCAGCAACACTACATCTACTACAAGTCGACCTGTTCCGTACCAACACACCAACATGTACTACGATTAGTAAGCATGCGCACTAAAGTTTCATACGGATAGTCAAATAAGTCTCATTTCGATAAGCATTACACGTGATGCACTGTCAACTCGACACCGTACACATTTATCTTTACAACAATTTAATTTTTAGTTTAAGTTTAAGCAGGTTTCTTGGAATACTTCATATACGACATCCTCACGCTTGCGCGCCAACGGATATCATCTTCATTCGGTCACCAATTAAAGATGAGCTGTCATCAACTACGTGCTTTTGTATAGTGAAGTACTCATAAATAGTGAAATACATATCCTACAGCTACTAAAACCAGTGCACAAAGCTATCACATATAGGTCTGCCGACATGCCAACCGGCGAAGGCGTCCTCCAAAGCATCTAACTCAACAACAACAGCTATCACTCTGCGCCTCTTTTACAGAACATTGCGTAGGTCGATGCTTATGCTGTTGATCACTGGATTGTCTGCTCCAGACTCGATTATGTCAAGACCGCCGCCATATAGCTGGAATATTGCTGAGTGCAGCGTTGAATATAGACTAATGCTTAGTCTCTGAATATATATAATTTTGATAGTAACAAACAAGCCCATTTATATTGAAAAGGAGCAGGGAATCTCTGAGGAAATCTAGACTTGCTTTAGAGCACCAGAGAGGGCTTGGCAGTAGGGGAATTAATGTGGTTCAGGGACTGTGAGACAGACTACGTTGAATAAGCCAACCAAGCAAATCTTTCACGGAACCCTGTATCAGCACTCTTTACAAGAGTTACCTCCCCTTCACTGTTTTGCGACTCGATCGCTCACATTCCTCGCTGGTTTAAGATCATGTTTGCGATGTATTTTTGAAAAGCCCAGAAGTATACAACATATATTAGATAACGTAGACCGGCAGCCAGTGTGGTGGAACTTCCCAGTAACGAGATGTTGTGATAGGACACAGCCGCACCACGATACCATTCAGCATAGCTCGCTTGAAAGGAACATGCTCTTTCAAGAATGTCCGCCGTTTAATCAGATAATGAACAGCGTCTTGATACTGTGTCAGGAGAAACATCGCAGACAGACTGACAGCTGCTGCCAAATGGGGATGGTTCATCGCCACGGTTCTACATACAAACAGGGAGATACGATGGTAGTTGTAATTCGTTGTAATGTTTGATACTAAAGTAACATTACTCTGTCATTTGGACTCCCTTAATGGACATACGTTTACGACAGTGTTGGTTAGTGCAAGATAAGGAATGTAGGGCTATGGTATGGCGTTTCTCCACCGTGCATCAACTGGACGAAAGTGGCCAAGCTACATACCAAACCGATGGAGTGAAAAATATGGCGTGTAATTAGTTGACCCGTCACGCCCCGACTACTGCCTCGACGTGAACCACGTGATGTACTGAGTTCTCGTCACGTCATCTGACGGAGGGCTGTAGAGAGGGCGAAGCGACGTGTTTGGCGGGCCATCAGGTTGGTGTCATGGCTCTCACAATCCGACCCACATCTCAGATTCATATTGAGATTACAAAGTCTATTTTCCTGTTACTTTTCAACCAAATGGGACATCATTGTTTCGTACCCTGTTGTTTGCTTTAACTGTCTACATGTGCGAAAAATGATGAGTAGATTCTGTGTGTATTCACGGATTTTACAATCACTCGTCATATTGTCGTATCAGCGATACCGTCAAATTCAGTCCACAGTATGTAATGATTAGAATATATGAATCATTTCTACAAACAATCCATAATTTACTACAAGCATGATCCACAATTTACTACTCTCTGTAAAAATGAACAACTCTTAACAATGTTTACAAACAGATGTCCAGATATGTCATCATATACTCATGCCAATAATGGTTGTCACCCCTTCATTTGTTTAAACACATTTTGTTCGTATTTGACCTATTATTGTATTTACAATTATAAACACATTTTGTGTATTTCCATATTATCCCCACTCTTCGTATTGTTTCCATGTTATTATACTACATATGTTTTTCCATGTGAAATTGTTCTTATGTACATAATGTGTGTGTATCTGTGTATTTCTGTATCTTGTCGTCGATTATAAAATATTGTCACGGTTCCTTCATGTAATGCTAAACAATAAATATCTTATCTTATCTTATGTTTTTCAATCAAACATAATTAATTCACAGAATTAGTCGGGTTTCGTCAATTACATTTTAAAATAAACCAATAGAACTACATCGCATCAATATCATATACATTATTCAATGTTGTTCCAGGCGACAGTCCCAGTGAATGTGAGCGGTACAAGGCTAGGTCGTGTGAGTGGCACACTGCTACTAGTGGATAATCAATACCTGACGTGGCACTGACATTATCGCAATATCAATACCTGACATGGAGGTACTCGGTGATGCGCTGCCATTATCGGGGTATCGATACCTGACGTGGAGGTACTCAGAGGTGCAATGCCATTATTGGGGTATCAATACCTGACATGGAGGTACTCGGGGATGTGCTGCCATTAGCGGGGTACCATTACATGACACGGAGGTACTCGGTGATGCAATGCCATTATCGGGGTATCGATACCTGGCATGGATGTACTCGGTGATGCGCTGCCATTATCGGGGTATCGATTCCTGACGTGGAGGTACTCAGAGGTGCACTGCCAGTATCGGGGTATCAGTACCTGACATGGAGGTACTCAGTGATGCAATGCCATTATTGGGGTATCAATACCTGACATGGAGGTACTCGGTGATGCAATGACATTATCGGGATGTCAATACCTAACGTGGAGGTACCTAAACACTCGAGCGGAGAAGGTATTTACGACAAATGTCATATATGAAACGGTGCTCTTATCACCCAAATAATAATTTTACAGCCATGTAAGTGTAGAAGGTAAGGAGATACCGCCTTCAAGGGTGCTCCTAACGTGGGATTTACAATTGCCGCGACGGACGATCGAGAGGGCGATATTACAGCATTATTCCTTGAGGGTCATAATGTGTGGGGCAGGGGCGACGGGTTCACGAGAGTGCATTCTTCACAAGTACACCTGATATGATAAGGGAACCTTTGATACATCAGCACCATGTAGTTCACCTAGAGATTGGTCAGGGCAGATTGTTGACTGTACCGATCAAACAGAGATTGTTCAAAACAGATTGTTGACTACATCGATCAAACAGAGATTGTTCGGGGAAGTTTAAACAAAGATTTTCAAAACAGATTGTTGACTATACCGATCAAACAGAGAATGTTCGGGGAAGATTAAACAAAGATTATTCAAAACAGCTATTGTTGACTATACCGATCAAACAGAGGTTGTTCTAAACAGATTGCTGACTGTGCCGATCATATAGAGATTGTTCGGGGCAGATTGTTGCCTGTACCGATCAAACAGAGATTGTTCGAGGCAGACTGTTAACTGTACCGATCAAACAGAGACTGTTCAGGACAGATTGTTGACCATACCGATCAAACAGAGATTGTTCAGGGCAGATTGTTGACCATACCGATCAAACAGAGATTGTTCAGGGCGGATTGTTGACCATACCGATCAAACAGAGATTGTTCAGGGCAGATTGTTGACTGTACCGATCAAACAGAGATTGTTCAGGGCAGATTGTTGACTGTACCGATCAAACAGAGATTGTTCAGGGCAGATTGTTGACTGTACCGATCAAACAGAGATTGTTCAGGGCAGATTGTTGACCATACCGATCAAACAGATTGTTGACCATACCGATCAAGAGATTGTTCAGGGCAGATTGTTGACCATACCGATCAAACAGATCAAACAGAGGACAGATTGTTCAGGACAGATTGTTGACCATACCGATCAAACAGAGATTGTTCAGGGCAGATTGTTGACCATACCGATCAAACAGAGATTGTTCAGGGCAGATTGTTGACCATACCGATCAAACAGAGATTGTTCAGGGCAGATTGTTCAAACAGAGATTGTTCAGGGCAGATTGTTGACCATACCGATCAAACAGAGATTGTTCAGGGCAGATTGTTGACCATACCGATCAAACAGAGATTGTTCAGGGCAGATTGTTGACCATACCGATCAAACAGAGATTGTTCAGGACAGATTGTTGACCATACCGATCAAACAGAGATTGTTCAGGACAGATTGTTGACCATACCAATCAAACAGAGATTGTTCAAAACAGATTGTTGACCATACCGATCAAGCAGAGATTGTTCAGGACAGATTGTTGACTATACCGATCAAACAGAGATTGTTCAGGGCAGATTGTTGACCATACCGATCAAACAGAGATTGTTCAGGGCAGATTGTTGACCATACCAATCAAACAGAGATTGTTCAGGGCAGATTGTTGACTATACCGATCAAGCAGAGATTGTTCAGGGCGGATTGTTGACTAAACCGATCAAACAGAGATTGTTCAGGGCAGATTGTTGACCATACCGATCAAACAGACATTCTTCAGGGCAGATTGTTGACTGTACCGATCAAACAGAGATTGTTCAGGACAGATTGTTGACCATACCGATCAAAGAAGATTGTTCAGGACAGATTGTTTACCATACCAATCAAACAGAGATTGTTCAGGGCAGATTGTTGACTATACCGATCAAACAGAGATTGTTCAGGGCAGATTGTTGACTATACCGATCAAACAGACATTGTTCAGGGCAGATTGTTGACCATACCGATCAAAGAAGATTGTTCAGGGCAGATTGTTGACCATACCAATCAAACAGAGATTGTTCAGGGCAGATTGTTGACCA